CAGCCGAGAGGGGCTGGAAGGGGGAAATGGGGGGGAGGAGGGGCGGCAGGGGGGGGAGAGGGTTGGCAGGCTGGATTTGTCGCTCTAGGCCTAAACGGACAACACAAACCACCAATTGTCCCGAAGCGTGACTCCTGCCTCCAGTAGGCCCTTCGGGCGTGCTGGACGGTGAGACATTCGTTGGTTAACGCTGAGACAATGGCTAGTGGGTATTTCCAGGAACAGTCGGAGCCTGCCGAACGATGAAACAACGTATTACGCAGAGAAAAATAGCTGCTAGATATTGCGACGAGTGGCTCCCGATTGAAGCCTGCTGAACGATGAAGCAAAGTCCTTCGGGAACTGGGTTTCACTGTGCGCTCGCCCCCTGAAGCCGGGGTCGGCGGATTTGGAGGTATATGTGGGGGAGCCCTATTTTTTGGGGGTCGGTAGAATAGGAGTGTGGTATTTGGAGGTATACGTGGGGGAGCCCTATTTTTTGGGAGCACCCAAAACCTGGTGTACTGTGCCATTATAATTCCCAGTGGGAGGGTCAATGGGACTCAGCACTTCGGCTGGCGACTGGGATAACTCGGGTTATTCCGTGGCCTAGTGGGGCTATACGTATACTTACTAAGTTTCCCTGACTCTCCAAGCCAGCGTACATTGCTCCATAGTTGTAGGGGCTTAGATAGCTATGCGGTGTAGTGCAGGATGTTGTCTATCAACCGCATGCGTATGATTACGAGGTATGATTTCGAATAGAAGTACTATGCAGTACAGGGTAGGATGACTTTCTCAATTCAATTGTTCGTATCCTGTTCAATGAACACAGCCTTGTTTGGTTCACCGCCCAAAACCACCACCCACATAAAATGCACATAAATTCGTCTGGTACGTCACCTTATGTTCGCAGTAAAACACTTCTTCAGGCCAACTCCCAGATAAGTTTGCCCACGATGTTACTTTGTCTCAGGGTAAGGCCCCTAGCGAAGAATAGTCACTGACCTTCTTCAGCCCGAAGCCCTATCTACTCCCAAAGTAGCGTGAAACCTGAATATTGGCCCAATCTTGAATACAGTCCTTTGTTGTTAGGGGTATATGTGGTTCTGTTTTGTCATTGTATTGTAGGATTCTTGATATTATGTTCATGTAGTTGCATCGTAGTATTAGGAGGATTATATTAGGACTATTAATATTGTGATTATGATTCTTACTAGGGGTCTGCCACCATCCATCGGCCCCAAACCCCAATCCCCCCTTCAACGTTAAAGCTTCAAGTCGCGATTCCTAGACCTCGAACCCCGCGCCTTCTAAAACCTAAAACCTGAAATTGAGCCCTGCACGGCAAAGTACTGCATCCCGAGCCCTGAGCTCAAAAAAACAAAAATCATGGTATGTCCAGCACTAGGTATATAATAGTACTCACAATGATACTAATCATGATGCGAAAGCCACCGACCCTAACCCTAAATCCCAAACCTTAAACCCCAAACCCTGAACCCTCTACACAAAACAGCACAGGTACGACTTGGAGGGGTGGTACCCAGGCGACAATGAGGGCAAGGGCAGGCCTTAGGCTCAGCCCTGCTGCTTTCAGGCCTTTTTGGGCCATGTGGTAGGAATAATTACGTATACAGTTACTGTTACTATTGCTATTACTGTTACAGTTGCTAGTATTGTTACTGTTTTTTAAACAAAATCTGAATAGGGACCCCTAGAATCTCATGATAACCACTGTCTATTCCTAGAGTCTCAGAGTCCCCCCCCAATTTGAGAAACGCCGATGTGGGAGTCTCGTCATAGAATTTCCAGCAAGGATTCAAAAGGGAGCAGTCTTTGCAGGTCTTGAGGGGGAGGACAGAGCCACTTCAGGGTTTGGGGGTTAGGGTCCCGGAGGTTATGCGGTATTGTCTTGGGGCTGAACAGGCTACAACCCGCACTACTGATAAACAAGAACATCCAGGCTTCCAGGGTACATCAGGTCCTACTTGGCTCCCGGTCAAGCCCGTCAAAATTGACCTTGTGCGAGTCTTCAAAGCTTTTAACTTCTGATGGCATGGTCCTGGTAACGAGAGCGCTATCATTTCGCGGTTCTTGCCCGTCAGGGGGGCTTAGGAAACATATTTACGTCCCCCATAGGCCGTCTAATAGCTCCAGTTGTCCCGGCATGAGCCTGCTTACACATTTCCCCTGAAACTTCAAGTAAGCCAGACCTCTTGTTAAAAGCATTTCCTTTGAACCAGTGTACTGGTCGCCAAGATGATGCCAATGCTTACGTTTAGAACATGCGTAGGGGTTCCCAAAACTTAGAGTTGTGTTCCTTCGGAAGTCCCTATGAGATAGAGTCCCTGTAGAATCCCTATGTAATGAATATTCTTATTCCCTACTATAAACCCCATTGTATACGCTATTATCCATTTTCTTTTCCATTATATATATTACATTCCCTTATTCAAAAGATTCCTTATATAATCCCCATATAACCGCTATATAATATATACCCTTATCCCCAAGTAGCCAGTAGTCAATGAAGTTAAGGTATCGAGAGCTCGTGTCCTGCTCGAACTGCCTCGACTACCAGGCCGATCCACTGTGTAGGGTTTAGGGTTTAGGGTTAGGGTTTAGGGTTAACGGTTTAGGGTTAGGGTTTAGGGTTTAGGGTTCAGGGAATAGGGTTTAGGGTTAGGGTTTAGGGTTTAGGGATTTGCAGATGATATAGGGGGTTCCCAAAATTGGGGGTACCTTTTTGGGTGTCCCCCCCATGATAGGGATTATAGTACTTGGGGGGTTACAACCTCAGGTCCTAGATTCCTCATGTACTTATCGCATTGGGCACCTTGACATGGACCTTGAACATACATGCGGCCCAAGTATCCACCAATATCATGAATCTCGAGAACATCCGGTGAAATTACAATCATCAAGACATAGTGTTCCTGGTTTATACAGCCCTCAGACCTGAACCGTGCATGGGAGTTCCTCAAAATTGGACCCATCGAATCCTAAAGTGGGATCCCCACAATTCCTTCCTTACTTCTAGAAATGCCTAAAACCATTGAATAGATTTGACCCAGGCTCGGGCGATGCAGACCAAGTTCGGCTACAGGCCAGAGGATCCGCTTGGAACTCGGAAATGCAGGAACTGCTCTTTGGATTCCGGGGCTTGGTCAGGAGGGATGAAAGCAAGTACTTGTAGGGTAGTTTTTGTTTTGGAGAGTTTGAGGGATTATGGTCGTGTATCTCCAATTAACTGCAGAACCAGCTCTGTCTGGGGCGGGAGGAGCTTTTAAAGTTGTTTCAGATGGTAGCTGTGGATTCTTCGGGCATTCTGTTCGACTGTGGCCTTGGGTTGCCAGATGGTCCGAGCATGCATCCCTCTGTCTAAGGTTGAAACCATGGGCCCCTGGCATGGGCCCTTAACCCTGGGATCCTTATATACCCACTATACGCCCTATTAGTACCCTCAAGGGTCCCTAAGGACCCACATTAGAATCCCATACTTGAAGCCTTAGACTCTGGCAAAAGCTTGCTACCATCCCCTAGCTTCACAGTAGATGCCTTGCATCTGTTGAAATCAAACAACTGCCCTCTTTTCAGTCCCTCTGAGACACGGCGGAGAACTAAGCAGAGGCCTCGTATATGAGAGATCCCTGTCCCATGTTTTCCTTAGGTGTGCCTTTGGTTTTCTTCAGAATCTGAGAATCGGCTTTTGTTGAGGTTCTGCCACATGCTCAACAGCACTCTGTGTGCAACTGCCGTGGCCCTGGCGAATTCCAGATCAAAGGGAGCAGTAGGAAACCCAGTAGAGAACAAATTCTTTTGCCGAAGGACTCGCATGTGTTTTTGGAAAGAGCTGTATCTTATTAGCCTCTCTCAAAACCAGGAATCCTTTCTTGAGGTCCCTGCGGCAAGCATCTTAGCTCCTTCGGGTAGTTTCCCCAGCATTCTGGAAGCCTGCGTCAAAAGCCGAGACCTTGAATTCAACAGCTTACATGCAAGAGTCCTAAACGTTGGTAGTAAGTTCTAAGACCTTTGGACCCTGGGCTCTTGGGAGTGAGTTTTCTGTCAGCATGGAGCCGCTTTGAGGATTTTGAAAACGAGGTCTTCCTCCTTTTTTTGGGATTCTCAGTACCAGTTTTCGGTTGTGGTACGTTAAGGCACCCTGCTTTTGATGAATGCTTTGTATGTTGGGGGTCAATTGGTAAACTTGAGCGTTGCTTTTTGCAGACGGTTACTGCAGGTGGTAGGGGTTTCATTCAAGGGCAGAATCATTCCAGTCAGAAACTCATCCGGTTGGATGGAAGGAGCCCTGCACAAATACGTGTTTGATAACCGTGTAGGCATTGACCCGCATACAACAGCTGTCGTTTCGCCAGATGGTCCCTTTTCATCTAAGGGCAGCGGTATGTTGGTGTAGTAAAAACAACTCCCATAACATCGTTCCCACGCGAGCTTGTGTAAGGAGCGGGCGATGTGCTGCCTTGTTGAGAACTACCAAGAGGAGGAGGGAGTCCGCGTGGGGAACTTGGATTTTGCTTGCTCTGTTTCAAGGATGATCTCAAGATTATGTGCTTAGTCAGGCAGACTTCTACACTCTTTAGGGGGGGGTTGTATAGGGGATTGTATAGGGTTATACAGGGTCTAGGGTTTAGGGTAGGTATCAGGTGGGTACAGGGTAGGTATCGGGTGGTACATCACTCTTTATGGAGGCCACCTCGCAGCAGCCAAGGTTGCCGTTTTACGAGCCCATATGACCCTTATGTAGGCCTCCTCATCTAGCAACCACTTGCCACTGTACATGGGGTTGTGTGTTTGTTCGGAGGATGGCATCCATAATCACTATATCCATACGGCATCCGTAAACAGTAAATCAGTACTATATCCGCAAAATCCTCGGGTTTAGGGTTTAAGGTTAGAGGTGAGGGTTTTGGGGTTTTAGGTTCAGGGTTTATGGTTTAGGGCCACCTGCTTGCCCAGGTTCCGCGAGCACTGGTTCCGTTTTTGCTGGGCCAGGAGCGGGGCGGCATCAACCCAAAGATGAGAGTCCATCATGGACCCCTGAAAGGTTTAGACTCATGAGGTCTAGGGTTTAGAAGCATATGCGGTATAGTCTAAACTCCTTAAAGGGAGTTATATACGGGATTATATAGGGTCCATCATTGGCCTCTGAAAGGTTTCGGAATCATTTGGGGACATCACCCTGTCACTCGCTCCGCGCAGGATGCCGAGTATTCTTTAACAGGTAAACTTGAAAAGGGGAAGCTATATAATCAGCATAGTACTTTCCATTTTCTTTTCCATTATCCCTAATATAACCCCAGATAGTCAAATCCCGAGAGTAGTTTCCACCCTAAACCCTAAACCTAGTTTCCATTCCAAACCCTCAACCCTTTACCCTTGGGCAAGCTGCGGCAGCATGGGTTGCACACTATAGTCCCCTTGAGTAGATAGAATATGGGGTATATGGGGATCTTATTATACTATGCCCAAAGCCATATTCTATCTACTTAAGGGGGACTATAACCTATTTAGGGCTCAGGGTTTAGGTTTCTGGTCTACGACATGCGGCGAAAACAATTAGTTTATCTTAACTTTGAATTTCATTCATGTACGGTCATTTTTTGCATAGCATGGGACTGCATGGAACTATATGGAAGAACATGGTTGTTGTCGGAGGAAGGTTCTCTTTCGGGTACAGTTTGAGGCAGGGAGTCTGACTGCAAGATGAGGGAAAGGAAGTCCGGTTGTTTAAGTCTGAAGTGGTTTCACGACTACCGAGGCGTGGAGATCAGGATCCTGTAGAGGCCTATTGGTAACTATTACTAGACTGAAAATTACCAAGATCATGCTCCTAGATTCCTGTCATTATGGTTATGGTACATGATATAGGATACCTTGACAAACCACAAACCTATGTTGGGAATTATCTAAGCTCTTAAGTATGGCACTTGCTTATTTCCTTTCGTGATTTAAGGTGCTTGAGGCGTCCAGGCGTGTATTGCGCAGAGACAGGACCTGTTGGCTTCATTATGGCCGCTCAGGATGTTGGTGAACGATGTTCCAGAGTCAAATTCCTGTAGGGGAACCCAGCTAGCAGAAAAAACTCAAACGGCAAACGCGGAGGAAATCCTGAACCAAAAGATCAGGACAACTCCCGCGTGCCAGATGCCTTGCGCAGATCCCTCAGAAACTAGCCTAACCTCTTCCACCTTTGAGCACCGAAGCCCCAGCGCCCACATCTGGCGGCCGAAGCACCGGCACCATCTACCCGAGGTGAACCTTGCATGATTTGTTGACACCGTGGCTCTTTGTTTGTCTGCTGCATATAGGGAGCTTTTACGTTTGCGGGTACGGTGCAAGCGTTAGCCAATTTGTGGCTTCACGAGTTCCTGCGTAGGTGTAAGTGCGTCCTTGCCTTGTGGAACAACGAACATGTCGACCACATCATGGGAACCTGTCGAGATAGAGGACACCCTATTGCCAGTCATTGCGCCGGCAGAGAATGCCCTCAGCGTCTTGCAGCCCAGGGAAGTGCAAGATGCGCACGACTTCATCAACCAGCTTTACAGAGGGGTTGTCCCTGCGCAGATGCAGCTTGCAGATGGCCTTCACACAATTGGGCAAAGGGTTCTGGGACGCTTTCTTCACTTGCAAAAGCACCTTCCTGCAAAGCTGAATCGCGTCCTGAAGGAAGCTGAGCAAGTGCAGAAGCTCCTTGGGGCGCATGTTGTTGACTCGCTTGCGCAGGCTTCCTTCTCTGAGGAAGACATTGCCAACCTGAGCAAATCTTTGACGAGATTCGGGCGCAGCTTTTCGATGACAAAGGTAGCTTGGAAGACTTGCTCCGGGAGGTGAGGGAGTGTGAGAAGGATTTCGCGGGCCACCAAGATGGATACGAAGAGAGCATCCAGCAACAGGAAGAGACGTGGCGATGGCGCCACCACATGGCCAAGTACTTTGAGAAGATTTACTCACCGTTGGCGTGGGTGGACTCTTCAAGGGTCTCCAGAGATGCTGGCTGTGGTGTGTTTTTCGTTCTCAACCTGGTTGCTGCTGGGACTGGCTCCCTTCCTGCCTACTTATCGTGTTTGACGGGGATCGGGGCGCTGTTATCGGTTTTCGCCCCCGCAGTCAAATGGCAATTCTTCGACTTCCGCACGGACTTTGACAGCCTTCAAACCGAGACCGAGGATACACTGCAGCGCATCAGAAAGGTCAAGCTCATGGGTCGTAGCATCTCTCTCTTTTACCAGGACCTTGCATTTGAGATTGCAAACATCATACGACTTGAGAAGAGGTTCGAAAACATACAGAGGACACTCCCACGCTTGAAGGCGCAGAAGAAAGATGTGTCCACATGGGATTCGCACACCCTCGGTGACGAGTTGCATCGATTGGAGCTCAAAGACTGCGCTGCAATCTTCTTGAATGCGAACATATCTGGCCATGCTTTCCTGCACGTTCTGAAGGAGAAAGACTTCAAAGATCTGGGTATTGCGGATGAGCTGTCATTGCGAAGGCTCCTCGACATGCAGGCCCGCATGCTGAACGACAAGCAGGAAATCCTCCGCAATGCTTCGATCGGCCCACAGCTGAAGGAGGCTTTGAATGAAGTCGTTGGCCAAATCAGGCGCCTGAAAGAGAAGTACAGCTATGCATGAGTGCTAAACTTGCTGCAGCGAAATTCACAATCTCTTGACAGCCAGCGCGATACAGCACGCTAGCTGAATGGAATGTGGGTTCATCGCAACTCTTTTAATGCACCTGCCATGTCCACAGAAGATGACCATGGAGGGTTCGCTTTCATTGAAATCTGGTGCTGCAGTTGATGGACGCAACTGTTATCTTCCCGGCGATGGCTTATCGCTTCCTCGTCCCCGCTACCTCACAGAACGAGGAGCCAACTGGCAGCCAGGAGAGACAACAATAACTACCATACTCAACGTGCATGGCTTGAGAAGTGTCACATCATGACTTACTGGTAGTCGCCCGGGCTTTCTTGTCATGGAGTTTTATTGAACTGAACAGCTTGGAGAGTGGGCAGATATGGTGGTTTTCATAAAGCGGGCCGATTCTTGACCTCCCGTATAGAAAAACCCTTCTTATTGGGACACCCAAAGAAGGAACCCGTAATTTTTGGAAACCACCGCAAGCCAACAGCACAATTAAGCGACCTGCCTCTGGTTTGCCGCACCGAGCATCACTGCAATAGGTAGGTTGTCTAAGTATACACACGATTGCAATGACAGAGCCACAACTGATCAGTAGCACCGCTAGTATTTATCGCCAAGCATAGCAGTCGTTTTGCAGTATTTGGAGTAGCGCCAGCAAGCAGAAGTGCCTGTGACCCTCCCAGGTCTTGGGTGGTAAACAGCCCCCATGGCAGTCCTCTCATTGTCTGTAAGCCTGCAGCACTTCTTGCAGCCAGGTGCCGCCTGATTTTTCTACATCCACTCCTGCTTCGAGATGCACCAGCATTGCCCACAGTTCAGCTTCAATGTTCTGGGCGGTGGGTCCTGATGCCGTTCACGCAGATCCCAAATCTCTTAAATGGTCGCAGCTGCAGCTCCCTCAGACCTCTAAGCCTCCAGCCCGAAACCCAAACTGTGCTACACTGGGTCGATGCACGCAGCCCTTCATGCAGTTAGATGTCTCTCAGAGGCAGTTCTTGATCCTCAGGTTTTCTTGTTGAAGAAAGCGCTGGCTGACGCTTTTGATTTGATCGAGACTTCTCGCATGCTCCCCGATGTCTCCTACCTGCACCCAGACGCAGTCCAAGTTTTGGGTTGCTGCGCTAAGCAATGCACAGCAAATGGCGTGCATGTTGAACGGCAGAAGACCTTACAGATAGCGATGAAGCCCGAAGAGGTTAATGAAAGCTTCAAACTTCCCATGCACTTTGAATCCAAAACCGTTAGCGAAACCCTGATCCCTACACCCTGAATGCAAGATCCTCTACGAAATACAAAGTTTTAATTTCTGATAGTATCTTTATGAGGAACCAGTAGTCTTGAAGGAGTTCTTCCCGTTTGTGAAGACGCTTAAAGAGGAGCGACCGGCGGCGAAGGGAAAGGCCTGGGCGAAGTTTGAGGATCTTCTGGGAACGTTGTAGGGCTCAGGGTTTAGGGTTGAATAAAGGTACCCTCAAAATGATGGATATGTTGTTGCCCATGGGGCCTCCTGTGGTTCCTTAACAGCAACCCAGTATTGATTTTACGCTTTTGGCGTTGCAGGGGGTGCTGTAGGGTTTTGGGGCTTAGGCATTCAGAGCCGCAGGGTTAGCAGTTTTGAGTTTAGCCCTTCCTTTTCTGTCAGTTTGTTTTCTGTTTTTTTTGTGTGTTGGGCGGGAGAGAATGTGTAGAGCTCCACAAGAGTTGCAAGTACTTCTTCCGGGACCATACATGCGCAAGGAGAGGATGGATGGCCGCTACATTATCCGCCCCCCAAATGCAGAGATATTCCTCTCCTCAACCCTACACCTATACCCAGCCAGTTGTGCCTGAAAAGAACATCAACCCAAACAATCACTAAACAGAGAACGATCTAGAACCATTTGGGTTTCTTAAGCCATTCTCGCGGATAATATAGCGGAGTATTCCAGGGCTTACTAAGCGGGATACTAGGAGTTTAGACTATATATAGCTCACATGGAAGCCTCCTGCCATAAGCCTTGTAACTCGAAAGCTTTGCATCGTGACCATGAATCCTATATAAGCCCTAGACTCCTAGACTTGTGACCCCTCGCAGTGTAGGAGGCGTGCTGGGATACCATGCCAGGAGATGTCAGTTGGCCCCACATGCCCTCAAATCTTTCGGGACAGGTGCATTGGGGGTGTATATACAGAGACCGGACTTTCGAGACACATGTTTTTCCTCCAGGCAGGTTACCAAGCCTTGAGGTCCATAGAGTTCGTAAAGACGGCTGCTTGTTGGCAGGACACATTGGCCTCTGCACCGTTTAAACCCAGAGACTCCCATCGCCCTCAGCCTTTGAACATAGATCTATGCCCTTAGATGTTGGCTGAATAGAGCACCATGAAGCCTGATAAGGCTATTCTACTTTCTTTTGTGTTGCGTCATTTTTTAGAGCTACCTAAACCTACAGTATGGTGGAACAGGCCTTGCCCTGAACTAGAATGAAGCTTCATGCGATGCGGTCCACAGGGTCCATCATCTTCAGCAGGCACCTTTTCAGGTTCCATGTTTGTTTAGGGGCGTGTAATTTCTTCGAGTTGGGATCCGACCCTGCAGCCGCAGGCGAAGAGCCCGGGACTTAGTTCCAGTCGCACCCCCTGTTGAGTGGCTTCCGAAGGTGTGGAGGTCCCTTTGTAAAGAACCCCCGCGTTTTGTGTGTGCTTTTTGGGAGCTTGAGTTGTGCCAGTTGCATACAAACCCTAAACCTTGCGGGGCCAGCATGGAGGCTAAATCTGGACTCTCCTTGCCCAAGAAATCTTTCCTCAATGTATTAACCTCTTTCAGAACGATGGCCCGTGAAGTACCGAGCGGGACCCTACCGTTGGAAGCTACCCATGTTAAACCAAGACGCGCGCGAGACTGTTTTGTTGATCTTGTGTACCATTTTTTTAAACAAATATTTTCTCTGTGGTGCTAGGATGAAATGGGGAATGGCTGGGGTGGACCTCCCCCTGAGTACTAGAGACTATATGGGAGAGTGGTGAGTATATTGGGGTCCTCTCATTTTGTAGGCGGGGGGGTCCACCTAAGGAATGGCCACAGGTAACATGAGGATGGGAACATCTAGGAAAACTTATTCACAAGAAAAGCTGAGATCATGCATCAGGTATCATGCGAGCTTCTGGCAGTAAGATGCTCTTGAGTGAAGATAACCACTACAGGTATCGAGAAGGTTGATGGCAGATCATTCGGACATTCTTGGCTTATCCTGTGAGGGCCTTTAAATGGCACCAGGATCACCTTGGCAATTCTGTGCGTGTTGTCAGCCATGGAGCACAATTATTGCTGGGCTTTGAGATGGTTGAGGTTCTGATGGTAAGGACATGGTTCTTTTGGGTTCATATTGGCGGAATCTGTTTTCAGACATGCTCTTGTTTGGAACGTCTGACGACTTTGCACAAGCTGTCTAAGCACGACTGTCGCCAGGAACTGAGCCAAGCAGCCCAGCTTCAACTGAAAAGGCGGAGACGAAAACCTGCCATTGAGATCCTACTTTAGATTTGGATGCAGAAGACCACAGGGTTTCAGGCTCAAGTGTTGGACAAGCCGGTTGCCGCACAGTCCACAGACACGGTTGTGGAGCAGGGTACTGACCCCAACACACTTGTTGCCAGAACGACTGAGGAGGCGTAATAGCACCTGTAGCCGTAGCGTAACCGAAAAGATCCTAAAAGGCTGCAAAAATGGTCGACAAGATTCCCTATGGTCCTTGTATAGTTATACTCAGGTATATCCGCACCCTTAATTAGAATCGTCTAGGCACCATTAGGGTTGGCGTCCAGGTGAATGCAATATAAGGGAAGTTTCTTAAACTGGATTCCGAGGTCCTTACCATTGCTGGTCCATCCCAAGCACCCTTTGTGGTTTGCCCTCCATGGTCAGTATTTCTCCGAGACGTATTAGAATATGGTAGTTTCCCAAAATAGAGGGACCCCAAAATACTATAGTCCTTGTTAGGGACCCAAAGTGGACCCGTACCCTTAATTTTGGGAACCCCTTTGTATGGTGCCCTGTCCTGTCTGGACCCCTGACCCCTTTAAGGCTTCTCCAGGCTTGTTCTGAGAGGAGCGGGATCCCCCATCAGCTTGCTGTTTAGGGTCCTTTTGGGGTCCCAAGGGGTTATAAAGGGGTTATACAGGGATTATACAGGGGCTATATAGTGGTTATATAGGGGTACATAGGGATAATTAAAAATAGCATGGAAACTATTACTTCAATTAAAGACTTTTCTCCTTCCCATCTAAAGATTTTGCTCATGGTCACATGTGTGTAGAACCCCTGAACTCCTGCAACTCCTACTTGGAGGGTCAGAGGGACTAAATCAGTTGGGTAAATCACGGGGATAACAGGGCTTGTTATCTGGCTTATGCAGGTGATAAGCAGACTTACTAAGTCCCCCCGACCCTCCAAGTTGCGTTTTGCGCTGAGGCAAAAAGTAATTGGCAACTTTCTCTGCCATGACCACTTCCTCCGTAGAAGCGCAGCGTGCAGGTTGGGCGAGGCGGGATGCTTGTGACCATTGATGGACAAAATCTTGCATGAGCCAAAGGTTTCGGTCTAGAGGGTATGCAGGATCTTGTACATCGTCCATAGAACCATTTGAAGCCTCATTATAAGCCTATGTGGCACGGACCTTTGTGTA